GTGGTCTTCTGGCAGCATCTATGTGATATCTACTAGCCACCTAAAGATCGAAAATAGATGTAAATATTTTCGTGGCGCGTGACGATACCTCGTCCAGCCTCTTTCTCGTAGCAGTCAGTCCTCCAGCACTTTGAGACCTCCTCATACAGTCATACAAGCACAGTAATTCCACGCGCGAGGATGAATGCCAAATCGATTACCAGGGCGCGCGCTAATAATGTGCGCACTGTCCCTATTTCTCCGTGACATCCTTCACTGAGTCTATGTGATATCGATCATACGTAGCTGTTGTACCGATCGTGTGTGTTGTTATGCGTGGATAGACAGTTCTTCGAAAACAAACTGTTTTACTATGCAACAGTTTCGGTTATACAGCTGAAGATACAACGTGTAATAGCTCTGTTCCAGCGTTATAGTATTGATTATTCTATGATGTTGAGCATGGCGTACGGAATGTCTATCAGTTGTGTCGTATGGTGATATCCTTAGCGTAGACTTTACGCTCTGCGAAGAGCAATGACAGTGTCAACTTTAGCACTTTACTACGGACTAAAGTGCTATATGCTTCGAATACTGCTCAGGGAATCATCTAGGAGCCTATAATGTTCCCGAGGGAACTCATTTTGATTTTTCCACGGATGGCCAGGAACACATCCTTCAATGTGAATACCATCACATTAGGAACATCTCTCCGTTGTTACGAAACTCTAGGGAACGTTAATCTCAAAGCTGCATGGATCCCTGATACTGCTGAGTGCTACTTAGCTCTACAATTTCTCTGCACACGTACTCCCTGGTTATCCTCGTCTCGTAGAGTCACCGCTCTGTACGTAGCTTTGATATCTGGTTGATCAGCAGTGGTTATTGGCTAGTTAACTCTATAGCTGTGATCATACTCATCCTTCCACTTCGCTCCGCCGACACAATTATGTGATAGTGGAGACAATGGTAGCTGGCGTTTAGCCTAGCTATTCTACCCCCTGCACTTGTTAATTTCTGTAAGTTAAGCTTCCCATAAGCTGGTTCTACTTGTGTCATCATTCCCTGAAGCTCAGGGACATAGCATCCAGGTGCACTGTTTACGCTCTCCATTAGTTGGGTTAGTTCACTCCTGCGTGTTGTAGGAGTGAACTGGTTTCCACGATGTTATATCGTCGTTGAGACCACCAATTGAGAAATCTGTAATAGATTTCTGAAAGGCATAGTTATGATATCAACGCGCTGGAGCTAGTTGCACTGTCCCAATACACAATCATCACTAATAGCTACATAGCCTTGTCCGTTAGCTAACGTATCGCTTTTAACCTGCCTGTTGATCTACCTTTTCTTACCTACCACGCTCTGCTCTCGTCGTTGAGTATCCAACCAGGATTACTAGTCTAGGGATCTATGGCTGCCAGTGGCAGCCTGCCACAGATACTACTTATTGATACTCAGGCGCGTGACGAGTTTACATGTATATACAACTTCCGTCAACCTTCGTGTCCCATCTCCTTCGCATGTTTCAACGATCAGTCAAGCCGGCGGGAATGATCGTGCTCGGCGGAGCGGTGCACGGTTTTAGACCAAGACACGTTGCCGATTTGGGAAGGTGCCTTGGCCGAGAAGCGATGCAGCCTAAGACTGAACTCCTCGGAAATCCCAATGAATTCGGCTAAGCGAGCTAAGCTGTGCTCGATAGTCATATGTTCTGTAATGTTGTAAGTAACGTACACAGTTATTCATCCGTGGACTGTGTTAATAGTTACAAGTGTAGCGTCTTCAGGTGGGCCAGACCTTGCCAAGCTCATCTTGAGGAATTGTTTCTCATCCTGATGCTTTTGTTTTATCAGCGATTACCCGTGGTACATCCAGAGTCGACCCCCCGCCACTTATATTGTTGGCTATACCTTTTCTAGCTCCACAGACCATCGCAGGTCAGATTGCTAGTGTGCCTCAGCGACATGCTCATTCTGGCTGCAAAGGGAAGTCGTCATGTCTGACAGTATGGAAGGGCTATCAACGAATCTACTCCTATAGTCCACAGACTTCAGAAGATATCGCTAATATGGTGAGATGTTCTGTGTTGAAATTGGAGTCCTTATTGTCGCGCACGGTCAGCAGTGAAATTCTTATTATCGTCCCTTGTCAAAATTGAAGTTCCCAAAATATTTTATTCGATTATATTTCGCGCGCTCGTCCTAATGGAAGTTACCATCGTTTGCGTTGAAAAATTGCTGAGTACTGCGCCGCCTTGGAATCTCTCGGGAGGAACCACATGGGTTTTCATTCAGAACAAATTCAGAACTTCTGAATTTGTGCTGGAGTTCATGTAGACCGTAAAGTGGGAGTCCAAAAGTACCCTCACGGAATCACCTCACGTGAGGAGGTGCGCCTGGCACCATCGAAGCACAGGTGGCTCAAGGGAGCGCTCTTCGGTGCGTAAACCGTGAGGCGCCTTACGTGGTAAGGACTCGTCCAGAGACAGCCTCGTGGAGGCTTGTGGGATAGGCCTTAGGACCACCGGTCTAAGTCGTATGGCCTCAAGAGCTGTTAGTCTCGAATGATTAGTGCTACGGCCTCCCAGGTTATTTGAAGGCCATTTTGAACGCAACATCCAGATGGTTGAGAAAGAATGGGAAAAATGGATCGAGCCTTAAATAAATTTGTAATTCCTATGATCGTAGTACTAGCTCGAGAAGCCAATATCTTGCCTTCTTGCCACGAAGCGGTGAAGAAGTACAATTCTCCAAAGTAACTTCGTAACGGTCACCTAATGACAAACTCCGTGATGAGAACGTTTTAAACAATGTTGATGTATTTTGGTGGTCATTATCTTCCACCGACTGTGAAAGTATCCTGTATTGTCACTTCCCCGCTAGTGACATTATATCCCCAGAATGTCCCACGGAGCTCACTCCTGCTCACAACGTCGAGCTCAATGTAACCAATTACACTTAAAGCCTTCTCCACATGAGGCATGGTGCCAATTGGACATACAAGGTCCAAGAATCGTGCCGAGCCAGCTAGAATGTGGACCGTGCCGTCAATAGCAGAAGTACGAGTATAAGCGTGTATGTGGCCAGTGAAGTAGATGCTTACATTGTACTTCTTAAACAAAGGAGCCACATTGGATTTTAGCGCCTCGGCGATATCCCCGTTGAACTTGTCTAAGGCGCAGGACGTGTACATCGGCCTATGACCAGTAACGATGACCCATGGGGTCTTGTTCCGGTCAACATTAGCGAGATCATCTTCCAGCCATTTGTGTTGATCGCTCCCGTTGAGATAATTATGCTCGGTAGAAATCATAACGTAATGTACCAAACCATAGTCAAACGAATACCAATACTTTGCCTCCTCTGAGCCGACCGGATAACGATGAGTGAAGGGAACGCCACACTCACCACCGGAGTCGGGGAAATCATAATTACCGAAAGGAGGGTACCATCCCTGAGGATTATCGAATGATACGTAGTCATGATTGCCAACGCTCGTAATCAGCGGTTGTTTCATACCAATGTTGTGTTCAACTTCAGCACCAAACTGGTCCCATACGGTAGAGAAGCCATTGGCATATGCGAGATCACCATAAATGATGCTTAGTCGGATTCTGTCATTTTGTCGCATATGCGACAAAATGCGATCTGGATCCGAAGGTGGGAATTGTAGGAACCCGAAGCCGTTGAAGCCCCCGAGCTGGCCGGCCCCACTCGTGCCCAAGTCACCAACCATGAACACGCTGTGTCTTAGAGCGTCCCCAGCGAGAAGGCGGGGAGATGTGGTAAACTCTTTTGATACACCATTGCCGGTCTTGATCTGGAGGACGGAATCTCGCTCCACGTTTGGGATTGTTACCGAATGGAAGAATCCCGGGTCCCGAAACGCTTCACTTGTAGCAGGGGCGGAGCACATATCTTGCGCCTTATAAGTGCGAGCCAGACTGGTCTCATTAAATTGAGTCCACGTGTGTGCCGGCTTCTTATAGAGTACTTCACCCCTTTCACTCGAGC